CCTACGTTGTAAATCTTCATCAAGCTTTTTTTACCTTGTACCAATTCATATTTGTAGTTGGTATCTTTTTTAGCCGTGATGAAATTCTAAAACATAGATCGAAACGTTGGCAAATCCAATCACTCCACCAACTCCTTCTCAAATTATAAGTACGGTCAAATGTGATGTCAGGAAATCGATTCAGGAAACAACTGAGGCTTTGTTAAAAACTTTATACCACAAATATACAAACCACTTTTATTTCTCTACATAAACATCACATTATCAGAAACGAAGGACTACTGCTCTCTGGGCAACCTCACCCAAGACAACCTGCACTGTTTATAACAGTTCAGCAGTGCTATCAGATAACATGCATTAACTATACACACTCGCACCTTTAGAATTTATGCTTTAAATTGTAAACTGATTTAAAATATAAAAACAATTAAAATATTCCATAACAAAAATTTATAATACAATCCGTGGAATTATTATTTTAACTAGTACCGATCCGTTCTTCTAAGTACTGCCATCATCTATACGACCTCTTAGTAAACTATTGTAATGGGTTGCCAGCTTGCCCTGAATGGTGAGACTCACTTGTACTAGAGTCAAAGCGCTGTAAAGGACTCCCTCTCGTAGGTGTTCTTGGCATGGGCAGGTCTGTGCTTTAGTTTGGCCAATAACTGTCCAACCTAGCCTAGTTTCAGTGGCTATCAAATTTTCAGTTATTGTTTCTAACTTTCCTGTCTGGTTTTGTGCCATGATATCTGCTCCAGGTATCAAATCTACTTCTTGCTTGTCTCTCCCACCATCGCCATCGCTCCATGGTATATTCTTACCTTTTAATATATCTAGGCATTCATCATTTGATCTAGGGATATCACTGTAAATTTTTATTTTGTCCAACTTTACTCCACTATTAAATTTACCTGTTAAATTTTCTAGTTTGACATCGTGCTTTTGTTTTGTTTTGTTTCAACATCCCCAAAAAGTTTATATGAAAGTATTTCTTCCTTTTCTTACTGTAATTTCTCTCTTGAAGAACTTATACATGTTGGAATATCATTATGCCAAGTTTTATTTGGATGCTCAACCAAAGCATTTAATATATTTTTTCTTTCTATCCACTTGTCCTGATAACTTATGGATGTATCAAATTCATCATCCAGTGCTTTTTCATCAACTAGTAACAAAGCTCATACCTTGTTTTCAAACTCTAATAGATGTTTGGCTCTTACTTCTAGTTTTATAAATTTCTTTTTTAACTCGGGATCATTTTCTCCTATTTTATTTTCTACTGAAGTAGCTAAAGTTGTAAATAAATTTCTCCACTGAGCTTTTCCTAATTTGGCAGTTTTCAACTCTTCAGCACTCATTATCCTTTATTTCCCACAAACAAGATATGTTAATATTTAAAATTAGGAAATCACTTCATGAAACAAATCAGGCTTTGTTAAGAAAACTTTATACCACAAATATACAAAACATTTTTATTTCTCTACATAAACATCACACTATCAGGAAAGAAGGACTACTGCTCTCTGGGTAACCTCACCTAAGCCTCAGCAGTGCTATCAGATAACATGCATAAACTCTACAGTCAACCATCTCCAAAACTTTTCTGTTTTTTTTTTTCTAAACTTTTAAATATTTTGATAATAAGAAAATGATCTTGTACATCAACAGATATGGTGGTGTGAATTCATATGCATTTCAAATGATTGGCTTTTTACCTGAAACTTTGCACATAACTGTTACTATCTTACTATCTTAACATCTTTACTAATGTATGAGTCGACCCAAGATTTCAATTTCGATTGAAACTAGGCACTTACTTTTGGCTTTGAAAATAATAAATATAACACCTTGTAAAGAAAATAAGAAACAAACCTGATTTCATAAAAGTACATTTATACAGCAGGGCTAAGTGAGGTTGGGATGTATTCGGCAGTAGTATATATCACAATGGATTCAGGCCAACACCTTATCCCCACCATACTACATAGACACATTCTTGTTTCGTGTTTTTACCTAAATACCTATGAACCTACCTTTTTCTTCGTTATTTGAAAAATATAATTTCCATCTTATATACCATCTTTATCATTTGGATTTTATTGAAGGTCCAATTTACTTGTTTTTTTCCGTGTAAGTACCAATTGAAATTCTTTTTCATGAACGAATTTTCCTTAAATGATCAATACAGTTTTGATAAAATGGTGCACTAACACTCATAAGAAGTTATTAATACATCGATAGCTATGAATAGCGTGCTTCTAATTTTTTGTTTTTCTTGTGGAAGCAGTGATAGTTATTCGGCCAAAAGAAGAATATTAGTTAACAAAACCAGAAAAAAAAACGACTTTCTTATAATTTTAAGTTGTCGACTTTAACTAGACTTTTATGGACGTTTAAATTTATGAAAAAGTAAACGCAAGTTTATCACTCCCCTCCCTTTACTCCGTTCTTTCTTCCCTAACAAGATGTCAGTAACTGTTATAAACCATGATGATATCTATCAAAAAGACTCCAGTACTTTTCCATTTTTTATCTGGAGAAATATAACCGGAACAAAACGTTACGCGGTTTCCAGGACATTGCTCACATCCTTGTTTGTGATTTTCCTCATCTCCAATGGCCTTGCAAATTCTTTCATTATCAATAGTTGAGTCACGAAGCAGTTTGTCAATACTTTTAATGATTTTTTTTTTAATACTTCCCTATAATTTCAGATCCGCCTCCTTATGAAAAGACAAGAATAAATAACATCTTTCGTTATTATCCTCAAGATGAGAAGCACTTTAAACACATCAAGCCATGACCATCTCTTGTCCATTCCATTCAGAGAGAAAACTATAAGCAAATCAAGTAACCAAAGAATGTGTAATCTAGCAAAACTACTCAATCATAATAAAAATTTAGTGGTATTTCATGGAAAGGTAATGCATACATTTTCTTCATTCATACATTTTCTCATGCAGTAAGTACCTCATGTTAGTCTGGTAATGAAATCAGTAGAATAAAGTTTATCACTAACCACCATGCCTTTCAAGAATGCAGCAGGATCTTGGAACTGACACCTCTTTTAGTGCCTTTAGGCTTGGTAGCTGAAAAATCTTTTTCTTTTGCTACAAACAAAAAATGGATATATATATATATATATATTAATTACTCTTCTTATCATTACATTGTGTATTTTACATTTACTGTGATTATACATATATATATATATATATATATATATGTATAATCACAGTAAATGTAAAATACACAATGTAATGATAAGAAGAGTAATTAATAGTATTTACCAACCCAGATATTATATCTTGAACTAATTACTAATGAAATAATTATAACCTATTAAAAGATCCTACTAATTACTTTAGTTCTTAAGACCGAAATATAAAATATGGCACAAGAAACTAAGGAAGAAATTAATAAAACAAGTAAATAATCTTCCTTTTACTTACTCGAACCCAATAGCAAAAATACAAACTTTTACTGTCACTAAGATTATAAAAAATATTCATATGGATAAGTAATATATATGATTTAAAATATATCACAATAATTTACAATTTATAACTTTCAAGTAATTAATATAAAATTGTTTTAAGTTTTAATTAGTACAAGTTATTCCTAAAATATGATTCTTCTAAGTCTAGATTCTTAAGTATTTGAGCATCAATTATTATTTTATACATATACAAAACAAAATGTGTGTTTGTGTCTAGAAGACTAGTAATAGAATATCGTATATTTTATTTCAAATTTATTGAATCGCCAATTGTTTTAAAGTCAGATGCTTGAAATAAAATTTTACCTTTAATTTTTAATCTTTTTAGATTATTAGATCATTAGGTATGACTGAAATCTTTATTTATTTATTTCTGGTTATTTCAAAATTTCTGCTACAACTTTTCAAGTAAATGTTTTTACAGAAATTTTATTTAAAAAACCTTTTAGTTAAAAGTTCTATTTAAGCAATATCTTTCACAAAAATTCATTCAAGATCAAAGAGAAAATATACTTAAATATCAAATAATTTAATTAACATAAATTATATTTGAGGAGAAGTAAAACTACAGTCAATCGTCAGCCAACAATTATAAATTATAATTGTATTCAAAGCCCAATAACTGTTTATTTCTCATTTAATGTAACTTTTTTTGTACCATAAACCAAGAGCTCTATTAGAAAAAAAAATACATAGATTTTTATTTTAAAATCTTTTTACAGAAACTATTAAAATGAAACTGTTAAAAAACGTTCAACTTCTATTAAAACAAATCAGATTCAAAATTGCTCATGTAAAACCTGCATGGTTCAAAGCTTGAAGATAGTACATATTTTTAAGATCTCCGGGAGTTTTAAGATGTATGTTTCAATTTGCAGACAAAATCAGAACCAGCGCCACCAGAGTAAATTGTAAAAGTTTTCCATAATTTGGACAATCATGTATAAACAAAGGAGGAATTACTAAATTACTTTCATTCTTATTTTATCTTATACATAAAATATTTTTCTTGATACCTAAGAAATGAAAACTGTAGTAAACTAATGTAATTTATTACAAATAATACTACTTAAATTAACATCATTACCATTAGTTGTTCTATTGCATTTATATTTATATATTATTGATTTTTATTTCTACAGAATGTCATTTGTTAATTTTTTGTCAAACATGAGTAGCACGTACAATGTTTTAAATTAATGACAGGATCTTATCTACGGTCTACTATAGAGGAAGAGGAGTGTTAGACATTAGTAAATAAACAAATCTACATATCTAATTTTTAATTAAATGAAAAATTTACATTATAGCATTTGAAATACCATGATCACATTAAAATTTATTTTGTATTTTTTAACATGACATTTTCTAAAAAATATTTATTTTTTACAATAAAAGGGTTTATAAAGACTCAAAAGCATTATACAAATTCTCTATAACTAATTATCTTTTATAAACTCCATGAAGCATATTATAATCGGAGTAACATGTCTTTGTTTTATTTATTTTTGAAGGATATTTGTGAAGCTGTTGGTCAGGCCATACCTGAAAAAAAAAATAAAGGAAAATATTTGAATAATATCCTTAACCAGAACATTACTAGTTTGAAATCAGAAGAATTTTTAACTCATATTCATAGAAGAGAGTGCATGTCACCACATAGCGGTGTATAATTTATATCACTAGGAATCATTACAATAATCAAAGCAACTGTGTCGTAATAAAATTTACAGAATTTATTCAAAGTTTATTAGTCACTTAACATTGTAGTGATGTTTGGACTAATAATAAAGTTCTATTTTCCATTTCTATTTAACTGAGTAAAATTTTGATTAGCTTCACAGATGTAAGTACGAATTTTATGGTTTATACTAAAAAAAAAAAAAAAAAAAAGAATTTAACTTAACCAAAGTTATTATTAATTGATATTTTGACTAGTTATATAGCAATTTGTTTTTATAGTTAACTTTGATAGATAAAGATTCCATTAATGAATGGGAAGTTAACTTAATGGTAAGTAGTTTGATTTGAAATTGAAAATTAATCCAACCGTTGCATCATAAAATGAAAAGGTTAGCCTAGTCTATATATGGCAATGATAACTCTTAATAATAATTAAATTTCCAAAATTTTTCAATTTTTAGTGCTTAAAAATTTAACAAGTCTCACCGCTCAAATAAAAGAAAAATTGGAGAAAAAAGATAAATTAAAAATGCAACATTTCCGATTTGTAAAAAAAGGTTTATCCAAAAATAGTTTTTGGAGAGTGGGAGGAGAACTATCAGGTTGACCAAGGAATTTGGGAGAAATATTACCTTGCCTTTGGGAAAATGGGCAATAAATCGATTACTTGACTGTTTCCATTTCGAACTATTTAATGATAACTATAATTCATTGATGGGAACTTTAACAAAGTAATTACATAATTTCATTGAGCTTCTAACACAATAGATTTCTTGTAAGGATAGTCAATTCTTTAATTTTACTTTACCTAAGAATTATTTATTCACTGTTATTTATGAGCAGATAGCTGTTGATTCAGGATTAAATTTTGGAGAACTAATTTTTTTTATAATGGTATGTAAAGGATAATTTTTTAAATATTTTTTTCTTGAAACATGCTTATATTCAGTATCTTGAATACTTTTACTATAATTTAAAAAGAAAGCACATTCTAATTGTTTAAGTATATAGAAAACAAAAAAAAAAAATTATTTTTCTTTTTAAAGAAGAAGCTTCAGCCTGAACATTCCTTCCCCCACTCTTGTCAACTACTTTTACTTTTTTTTATAATTTGAATGTATTTTATTATATTTAAAGATATATATATAGATATACATTTCACATACCCGTTTTAAGAACTCTTCTGTATGCTACAATAAATATTATAGTTGAAAATATTGAATGAAATATCTGAAGTATTACTAATGTGGTGAATGAAGAGCCTTTAGACTTGAAATATATTCAAGATGTTTTTATTTTTATTTTTTTGCATTATGAATAACCTCAGTCACTGAATTCACTTTCATTTAAATTAACGTTGAATAGTTTGGTCTTGAAAGTTTTGCAGCTATTAGTTGGAAACTTTTCAATGCTTAATGTTGTAGTAATTAGTAACAGTAGGTAGTAAAATTAATAGTAGTAACAAGCAATTAATCCATAAATTATAAATACATACATCATACATCATAAGCCAAACTATGACGCAACTGATGGAGTAACTTCAAGTAAAAGGAGGAGAGAAAAACCGCGCTAACGAACCAAAGTAGAAGAGTGAACCAACGACCTAGAAACATTTCTGCCTTGTCTATTCCACAGTGGAAGGACTTATCATGAACTTTATCAGCTAACTGTCACAGCAACCGTCCTGTTATCAAATGCTAAATTATTTTCTAATGGACTGATTTTCTTATCATTATACGTTAATGCCAATAATTATTCAAAATTTAAGACAATGAAAAATGTAATACCTAACGAATTACTTTTAACTATATGTATATTTTAATTTGTTAACTTTAAATGGCTGTACTTCTAAAGTGAAGTTTGCTATAAATTTATCGAGTGAAAGTAACTACAAAAAAATGTACAGTATTCAATATATGGAAGATCTAAATTAAGATTTGTGACGAAATACAGTTCTTTCAATAAGATTAAGTGATTACCTGATCCTTCATTATGCTGGGAGATATACCTGACATTTAAGCGTGGATGCCGACGTCATTCCCTTGCACAACCATTGATCTAGAAACAGTTGCGCCTTACCATATACTTAACCAAAAACCTTTCAAGTGATATTGAGCTAGTACTCTATTTGTTTTTAATATAAGGAATTTTTAAAATATATTTATAGTTATTTCACGTTTATGATCGTAATGATAAGTATACAGATACGTACATATATTGTCTGTAAAGAAGAATCGAAACGTGAATTAATCTTTCACTAACATTAATAACGAAGACTTCTGTACTAATCGTCTCTCGTCTCAGGACCGTCTCATTAGTTGTAGGTAGTGTTGCCCAAAATTGGTCTTGCTCTTACACTTAGCAAGACCAAGACCAAGGTCGTCTAACTGTTGCAAGACCAAGACCAGGACTGGTAAAAAAAATCGATTTTTAAATGCAAATAGTTAGTAATACTTGACAATATTAGTTACTAGATGTTAATTATTGGTATAATCAATATACTTTTGCATTTAACTCCTCTGATTTTTCATTCTGGCTTTGTTAGGTTTCTCCTATCTAAAAAATGACAGTAATATCTCTACAGTAATAAGCTAATAAGTAAATGCATCAGTTTTGCGAGACTCTTGAGCAAGACCAAGACCATGACCAAGACTGAGTTTGGAAGACCAGGACTCGTCTCGGTCTCGCATTTGGGCAACACTAGTTGTAGGCGTCCGGAAAATAATTCCTAGGCGCCCCCTCATTCACATGTATGAGAATTATACCTATATGCATCTTTGCACCACCAATCGCCGATAAACTTCGAATACCTAGCCAGTTGTTTAATACTTTAAATAAATCAATTAGAGCTAAGAAGAAATAATTTCTATTCGGCACTTGTCGTTTCTGGAGGTCCAAATAAAGATTAAAATAATGAAACACTGTTTCAAGAATATTATTATATTATATAGATTTTATATTTAATGTTTTTGTCAGCCTTCTATCGCCCACCAACAAGAAGGCCCTATTATAATTCGTTTTACTTCGATAACTTTGATTAATAAAGCTTTCAACGCAATAACAAGTTAATTTTTTAGTTGGCCATACACTCCATAAACAAGAATTTAAGGACATCATGAGCTATGTAATGTGATATAGAATAATAGGTCCCTCCGGACCTTATGAAGAACTATGAAAAGTATTTGTAGATGAGCCCATTTATTGGCACGATCCAGCTTGCAGGACTGATTCATTGGGAAATGCTTTCCATGCTTCAGCATTGAGGACTTCGACCAACTTCCGTTGAAGGTTTAAATGAGCTTCATGCGGATATCAGGAAGCCTTTCAAGTAAAGTATAAATAATATATTTAAAAAATCGTCATAAAATTATACAATACCAACTTCTGTCTAAGAAGATGCCTGTTTCGGTTCACAACTTGCCATGTCACCTTCTGTCACGACGAACTCGTAGCCCGGTGGACAAAAGGACGTCGTGTTGTCCCCGCCAAAGCAGTGCAACGACATTAGGATCACTCCTAATACCACCCAGACGAAGTGGACGATCCTCACCGACATATTGGCCGAGGACTTCTGGTGTTTGCATATTCATTTATATTTGCTGATTAAGGTTAACAATAGGAGGGATAAGGATAAAGCATGGTCAGTTATTGTGTGACAATCGGACATGAGTCGAGTTATTGTCAAAGAGGCTTCTTGATAAGTTAAGTCTAAAAAGTTACCCCACAGCAACAAGTTGACTTACCATCACAATTGTGCAACTTCAACTATTTATTTTACATCAACACAACAATATTCAATAAGCCGTTAAATAATAAGAATGTTATTTTGAATATTAACTTACTCTTGGCGCTCAGCTCTGTGAAGTAAAGTAATGGCCCGATGTTAGCTTAGGGAGCTAATACTAAGGCTAGAAAATACCATAAACCTATTATTTAACCTTAAAAATTTAATTTTAAAATATATATGTATAGTGCAGCAGTAAAAAAGTAAAATAATAAAAAATAAGCATTTAAACAAAATTAAACACTCTTTTGGTTTAAAATTTAATGTTTTCTGCATATTCTAATATTAGATTTTTATATTTCCAAACAAATGTCCTTCAACTTAGTAACATTATGATATCACTCAATACTCTTAAAATAAAAAAATTTAAACTCCGTCTAAATCCTTAACCCCCACAAAACTTCAATAACCGGTCAAAACATGCCCGCCTCAAAAAATTTCATGACCTCTGTTATCTAATATTAGGTGTATTTCAAAGATTAATAAACCCATTATGGTATCTAATTTTGTAGTTTTATATACTTATGAAATTCAAGTGAAACGTCTGTACGTCCAATCATATACTGAGGAATGTAAATATGTTTATGCTAACCTTAAAAATTGACATTTCTGCAGCAAAGTTTTTTTCCGCAAGGACCCATCTTCTGCCCGTTGGGACATGGGATTCCCTTCACCATTATCATCGTCTTGTTACCGACGGTGTTGGTTGATATTGTGTAATTTGATGTACTGATGACCGCCGCGGAGGACGAGTTGAAGATGAAGAACAAGAAGAAGGAGATCCAAAATACAGACATTCTGCCTCCGAGTGGAAAAGTAGACTGATGGAGATAAGAATTACACTGCGATGCTGTGACCTCAGATATAAAGGTCAGTGTGAGAAATTCTGTATGTGTGTGTTTATACCTATCGTGTGTGTATATTTATAATTTATGTATGTATATAATTCATTCTTTGTTTCAAAAGCTCTTTTTATGAAAATAATATCGAATTTGAGATTGGGCCCCCCGGGCCTTGACTTTTTTTAATTTTTCGGATCAAAACGATATCAGGGTCGACTCTTATGTTTTGGGAGGCGCTTTTTATGAAAATAATATCGAATTTGAGATTGAGCCCCCCGAGCCTCGAATTTTTTAAACTTTTCGGATTAAATCGATATCAGGGTCGTCTTATAGGTTTTGGGGGACGCTTTTTATGAAAATGATATCCAATTTGAGATTGGGCCCCCCGGGCCTCGACGTTTTTAAACTTTTCGGATCAAAACGATATCGGGGTCGACTCTTATGTTTTGGGAGGCGCTTTTTATGAAAATAATATCGAATTTGAGATTGGGCCCCCCGAGAATCGAATTTTTTAAATTTTTCGGATTAAATCGATATCAGGGTCGTCTTATAGGTTTTGGGGGACGCTTTTTATGAAAATGATATCCAATTTGAGATTGGGCCCCCCGGGCCTCGACGTTTTTAAACTTTTCGGATCAAAACGATATCGGGGTCGACTCTTATGTTTTGGGAGGCGCTTATTATGAAAATAATATCGAATTTGAGATTGGGCCCCCCGGGCTTCGAATTTTTTAAACTTTTCGGATTAAATCGATATCAGGGTCGTCTTATAGGTTTTGGGGGGCGCTTTTTATGAAAATGATATCCAATTTGAGATTGGGCCCCCCGGGCTTCGACGTTTTTAAACATTTCAGATTAAATCGATATCAGGGTCGACTTATAGGTTTTGGGGGGCGCTTTTTATGAAAATGATATCCAATTTGAGATTGGGCCCCCCGGGTCTCGTTTTTTTTAACTTTTCGGATTAAATCGATATCAGGGTGGACTCTTATATGTTGGGGGGCGCTTTTTATGAAAATGACATCTGATTTAAGATTGGGACCCCCGGGCCTCAACCTTTTTTTAATTTTTTGGAATAAATCGATATCAGGGTGGACTCTTATGTTTTGGGGGAAGCCCCAAAAGGCTTAATCTCAAATCCGAAATAATTTTCATAAAAAGCGCTCCCCAAAACATAAGATTCGACCTTGATATTGATTTATTTTCAAAAGTTAAAGCAAGTCGAGGCCCGGGGGGGGAGGGCAATCTCAAATTCGATATCATTTTCATAAAAAGCGCCCCCCAAAACCTATAATTCGACCCTGATATCGATTTAATCCCAAAAATTAAAAAAAGTCGAGGACCGGGGGGCCCAATCTCAAATTGGGTATCATTTTCATAAAAAGCGCCCCTCAAAACATAAGAGTCGACCCTGATATCGATTTAATCTGAAAAGTTAAAAAAAATTAGGTTAAATAAAATAAAAACATTTTTTTTTTTCAAAATTACTCATGACGTTAAAATTTTTCATGAGTAATTTACTCATGGAGATAACATTTTTCACGAGTGATTTACTCATGAAGGAAAAATATTTCATGAGTAATTTTCAAAATTACTCATGGCTAAGCTTCCAAGAGTGATCACTCGTGACGTCACTGCTCGACATTTACTCGAGTAAATGCCCAACTCTGTGGCTGACACAGGTGCCACAGAACAAAAATAGCAAGACAAATAATAATTTATGACACTTTCTTTTGATGTTTTGATGCAAATTTTTCGAATTTGCGAAACGTTGGCTCTTAATAAAATAGTTTTGCCGCTATTTAGTCTATTTATGACTGCCACCCCGGACCATCTTCTTCCTTGATAAGTTTACACGTTTTTAATTAACATTGATTCGACAGACTTTCGCCTTTTATATCATTATCTTTCAAAATATCTATTTTCATAAGCATTTTGATATTAGCATTTTTCACTTACAGTCGACTCTCGATAATTTGAAAAACAATGGACTACAAGAAAAATCGAGACTTCGAGTAATCAAATCAAGAAGTTTCAATTATCAAAAAAATAATAAATAAATAAATTTCGAATTATTAAGATTTTTTTTTTATATTTTTGTAAATATTTATGAGCTTTTTTATATATGAATAACCTCATGTAAAAACGCTGCAAATTATTACACAGCGGTTTATTATTTCCAAACAATTTAACATCAAAATTAGGATTACTTTCCATGTACGGTTGAGGAAAATAAACAACAAGGGATTCCTAACATTGGCTTTTATGATTTTCTTTTTTATCATTGATAATTAGCTTAAAAACAGACAAAATTGCTACAGTTGGTGTAAAATTTTCAAAAATCAAAAACCAAAACAAAAGATGTAAGCACTGCAGTAGAACAAATAAAACATGTTTAGAACACCATATCTTTGCTCCAAATTGTTCGATTTCAACGAATTTTTAGTTAAATTCGTACTCTTTTAAACAACCGTACACAATATCCACAAAAAATTGTATACTTCTTGAGTTCTTCTGAAATGTAATTTTATCACCCCTCGTAACTTTCTTTTCACTTTTTTTACGTTAAAGTACGTTATATAGATAAATTTAAAGGTCACCAAGGAGAAGACTTTAGCCAAGTTTCATTGAAATTAGAACATTCATTTCGTCACTACAGTCTACACCAACACAGAGTTTCGGGCGCCATCTTGGAAGGAAAGTGCGGGTAGTAATGTCGAGGTAGTAGGATGATCCTCAAGTGACCTCTGACTTTTATTCCGAATTTGAAAAAAATCGGTTAACTAGTTTCGGAGAAAAGCTGCTTACGGTGGACGGCGGAAGAACACAAAAATGTATTAGATTTTCGAACTATACGTATCGTGAAATCTAAAATTTTGTGGGAGAGGGGCTTAAATTATTTATTTTTTTATACTATTTATATATACAGACTATATATATATATATATATATATATATATATATATATATATATATATATATATATATATATATATATATATATATATATTATTGGTGATATTCATCAGTTTATCGATATGAAATTTATGTTTGGCGAATTAACATAAGATGAATGTAATATATTAATATAAACGAGTAACAAATTCAATAAGAGACAGTACCTAAATAATATCATTAGGTTATAATTAAAAAATCTGGTGCGCGCAACACTCAACTTTCATTTACCGCTCTACTTTGAATAGAAATTATTTTCTGCTTAAAGCTTACAGATAACAAATCATTAAGACCATCATAATTACGAAATGTCTATTTAATATATCGACCACAGGCAATAAAAATCTAATCACTCCATCTGCTTTTATAAACCAGTCCCAGTCCCTTCAGATCGGTTTTAATGCAATCTTCCCACCTTCGCTTCGGTCTACCCCTCGGACGCTTACCATTCGGCACAGCAAATATTAGCCTTTTAGGAATTCTCTCGTTACTAAGTCCAACAACTTTACAAGCCCATTTGATTCGCCGCGATGAAATTACCTCAATCATATTACTCGGATACAGTTCACGCAATTCGGCGTTGTGTAACCGTCTGAACTCTCCAGTTAACTCATCCTTCTTCGGTCCGAATATTCTACGCAATACTTTGTTTTCAAAAACCTTAGGACGCTGCTCATCCCTCAGACGCCAAGTTAGTAGGCAAGATAATTCTAATTTTATAGAACTGTTTTATAGATTCTAATTTTTAAGTTTCGGGACAAGAGGCGCGAACTAAGTAGTTTTGTCACAGAAAAATAACAAGCATTTCCCGCCTTCAGTCTAACCTTAATTTCTTCTTCAATTTCGTTTTTTCTAGTTATCGTAGAACCTAGATACCTAAACTTATCTACCTGTTCAAACATATTACCATCTATATCGATATCACCAGTAGTATCGCCATTTTTGCAGCTAAACATATATTTTGTTTTATCCACGTTTATTTCGAGTCCTAGTTCTTTACCGGCTTTCA